GCATCGGCAAATAAATGTACGCGACAGTGACGGCCTACTGGTTTACTTATGTAACAAAGCGTCAGATTTTCACCTGGAATTTGCTGCGACGAGATGAAACGATTTTCGGGACTAAATGTCTTTCCAACATTGATTTGTGTTAAAGTTATTCTTTGTCACATTTTCTTTGAAAGGCGGGGGGCTATTAAAATGGGTCCATCCGTCTGTCTGTCTGTCCGTCGGTCACACTTTTTGGGACACAATAACTCTCCTTCTAATTGAGCTAGAATGTTCAAACTTGGTGTAGGTGTTTATTACGTCAATGCCTTGATGGAGTTCGAAGATGAGCATAATATATAATAATAATAATCTTTAATCAATTAAATCAATTGCATATATTATGTGTATGCAATTGATTAACAAATAATCTGCCCTCTGTTAAAGTAGCTAAGTCTCTAACTCAATATCATCCAAAACCTACGACAATGAAAACACGAATTATTTGTCAATTTTAATCAACATTGGTGTTGTGATCTTACCGGAAAAAGATGGGCTTCTGATATCTTATATTTAAGTCAAAATAAACATTTTACGATTGGTACACGAATCGTGTACCATTATGATTTCAGCGCAATTTGTAGCAAGCGACTCGAAGAACGAGGTTAAACATGTTCCACAAGTCATGTCAAACGGTGACCTCATATTCTTATCTGGAGAACGTGCGCAATAAATACTATCGGTGTAGACAAGAATAACCAGATACTAGAGATTGCCATTGGATTGAGACTTCTGGCGTAAAAACGGAAACGATTGAATGTAAATCAGTTTATTTACATTCATATTACATTATTATATACGTTGCGACCCATTTGTGTCAATTTGTAGATCCCAAATATTAGCGATTTAGCTCCTTTAAAGTAAGGATAATTTGCACGACCTGATTTACAGACTATCGATCACTTATAGTCAACTATTTTGAAGTAATCCCAAAATTAAAAACAGATAAGCTAATTATTTTCAGTCTGTAAGTTCAGAGTGTTTATATATATACATAATACACACGCACGCACAAATAACCCATTTTCTTTTTATACTATTAATTCTAGAGCCTGTATATAAAAACATTGACATTAAATGTCCACGTGTATTTTGTCTAGTAATTTTAGAATAGTTCAAAGATATATAAGTTAATTTTGTTTTTGTTATTGTGGGGTATTATATATTATCTTCGAAATCTGTAATTTGGAGTCTTTAAATTGCATAATAAAATCCTTTCATTGCATAGTCATATATCCTATTTTCTTCCCTTTAAAGAAAATACTTATCTTATTTACCTATATCCCATTTTCTTCTTTACAATTTACAATGCTGTATTCCCAGTCTTAATTTCAGAGAAAATAGCACAAATGTATTTATTTTTTAAATCTAAGATTACATATAATTATATTTACCAGTCCTATATTTCATATTCTTCTTTACAATTCAAAATTATGTATTTTCATTGTTTAATTAATAAAAAAACAGTTCTTATTTATTCTTTAAAAATTTAGACCTTATACCAATTTTTTTTTACTTTTCTGTAATTTCACAGTTAAATATAGAGGGGGGGACTCAACATGTGTTGTGCACTTAGTTTCTTGTTTGGTCTTTTGGTCAGCATAGTCTGTAATTTTAGAGTCTTTAATTTTACAAATTATAGACTATTCGACCCATGTGTATATGTGTCCAACATTATTTTATTACCTTTTTTTTCGCTGATATTTAAAATGAGATAATATTTTAGTGGATTCTGTATATTGTTATGTATGACAAAAACCCCCATCGCATAGGCCTATATTCTATTTTCTTATGTAAAGAACCCTGCTTATATCCAATTTACAATTCATTATCTTCCATAATAATTTAAGAGAGAGAGAGAGAGAAATGGGGTTTAACATCCACTCGACACAAACTAGGTCATTTCGGAACTAAAACATGGTTCAATTTTATTTCAGTAATTCGCTTGCGCGTAGGGGTCTTTAGTAGTGGGAGGACACTGGAGGACCCGGAGAAAACCCACGAGGTTGGACAGGCGACGCTACTCCCTGTCACTTACAACCGGGGATTCGAAACCACGCCAGTTGACTCATTGACAGACCTTATGATACAGCGCGCACATGCTAACCATTTGGCCATCCAACCCCCCGATAATTTAAGAATAAATAGTGCAAATTTATTCTTTTAAAAATCCTAAGATGTATATTTTGTCTTGTGGACTCGGCAGTCGGCAATTTTAGAGTCTTTAGGATATCCATTTTCTTTTTATTACTTTCTAGAAGTTATTTTAAAATCAATATGAAAATTCAACAATTTTGATAATAGCCATCAAAAGTTCATCACGCACAGATTTCAAGTGCCATTTAAAAATATAAGCCATCAAATACACAAGATGGACTTTAATGTATGTTATAGTAGGGTAATTGAAGTTTAATTATCAAACTTTTTCAGAATTTTAACCCCTGTCCCACATGGCCAAAATTGAAGGTGAAAATGGGTATATTTTGTACGTGTTCAGTGTGCATTGAATTTCGAGACTGAATATTTGGAAAAGTATAAATCCCATCGACTCGGAATCTTTTCTAAATTGATATAAGACAAACTGACATAACCTATGTCAATTGTGGAGGTTGTGTATGCAATAGTGACTTTGCCAGAGGCTGTGGAAATCCTGAAAATAAAAGTGAATCGTTCATTTGTTCCACATTTTGCCACCAGGGCGACCTTCGGTTATAATTTTTTCGTGACTAGTGGTCGCAACTAGAAACCGAACGCGAATGGTCCGGACCATCGTCTGTTCAAAGATAGCTGCTTTCATGAACATTGTGATGTCATTTTACTCTGTTTTAGACCTCGACCATAACCCTGAAAAAAACCTTTAAGCTCAAGGAAGGTCTCCCCATGGAGGATAATGAATCGCTGTGTTATATAGTTTAATAAACAAATAATACTTTCACGCAGTTAAATTTGTGCGATTCAAATTAATTTTAGAGACGACAAAATTCCTTGTAATTTGACTTTACTTTTTGCATAGCTTAAGTATTGAAATAATGCGTAATTTTTAGACTTACATAGATTCACACATCACATTCGAGACAAAAAATATCTGCTCATAGAAGTAGCAACCATTTAAAATTCATTCAAGCTTTCCTAAAATCATATACTTAACAAAAATAGATACTTTCTACATATTCTACACTTTCGTTTCATCGACACCGCCATCTTGGAACTACTCAGACCATGCCACAATATCATGGTTAAGTATTTTCGGACTATGGTCTGGACTAAATAAAATTCGGATTCAGTTAGTTCGACCATAGTCAAGAAATCACGATAACCGAAGGTCGCCCTGGTGGCACGAACAGTATGCATTGGGCAATGGGTGTGATGTTAAATTAATAATCTACACCAAATGCTGTATTCGATAGTTTTTGCGTGTGTAATATAGTTACATGTATAAGGTTCTAGTTTGATTTTCTTTTTCTTTTTTTTTCTTTTTTTATTATCATTTTTTTTTTGAATTAGTGGGATTGGGGTGCGGTGGGAGTATCAAAATAGTAATTGTTCCGATTTATTAAATTATCTATTTTATTTAAATTATTATTTGGTAGGAAGGGGGGATGGGGTGGGGGCGGTATGAAAATAGTATATATTCTTTGCTCTCTCTCCTTCTGATATATATATATTTAGGTGTACATAAATTTTCGAAGTATTTAGGGTAGTGATGTGAATTTGCACTAAGGGAGGTGGGGGTATTTACACTCTATTGTTATTCATACTTTTATAAATTATCAATGTATATTATTTATATTTGTATACATGTTTTGGCTATCTGTAATATAGTTTAGTACAAAGTTAGGGAGTTCTACTCCTATTAGAAATATGCGTTTAAAGCACCCGAAAACCTGAAAAAAAATACTGAATTAATGATCCGTTTCAGTACCCTAATTTCAAATGGCCATATCTCGGCGAATTTTCGACCTAGAGAGGAATAATTTTGGATTTGTTAGCTTAAGTCCATGCACTTTAACATATATTTTTTGGTGGGGGTCATGTTCCCAACGTTCCGAAATTTGGTCCACTTGACAGGGAATGACGCAGGGTCGACGACAAAATAATAAACATAAAATATGTACAGTAATTATATTACCCATTTATCTCGGCAATGGAGCATTATAATTTCAAATTTCAATACAGATTAATTTTGTTTGTTCTTTTTGTCATAGTATGTAATTTCATAGCTCTTTTATAGATCTATATTCTATTTCCTTTTTTCCCTTCTGTATTTTCGACTATAATTTTATTAGGAAAATAAATGTTCAATTATAGATAAGCTACTTTTTTCAGTCTGTGAGTTCAGAGTATTTATATATAAACAAAATACACACGCACGCACAAATAACCCATTTTCTTTTATATTTTATGTGGTCTTACATGATATGATTTTCATAGCCTGTCTTTCTAGTGGATAAACATATATATAAGTTACATAGTCTGTAATTTTGGGGTCTTTTTATTGTTTAATAACTTAATAACCTTTCATTGCATAGGCCTATATCCTAGTATCTTCTTTAAATAAGAACTGCTTTTATAGTAGGCCTATATCCCATTTTCTTCTTTACAATTTAAATTTCTGTATTTTCATTGTTACTTTTGGGTGAACAGGGATATTGACAATGGACTATTTCTATAATTTAGCTCATTGTTATTGAAGTAATCAGTCACTAATTATATTTTTGTCATTTTTGTCATAATATTAAATATGCAAACATTTTAAATACTCTTGCCATTCACGTAATGGTCCGGATGAGTGAAGAATAATGGTCCGAAAGAGTCAAGAATCGGCCAACAATCTGGCCCGAATGAGCCATGGACCGAATCAGTCGATTACCTACACCAATACTTTTGTACTTAAGTTGTCAGCATACCACTTGAAATAAGGATTTTACTTAAGAATGGTTTGATGGACAATTATTAATTTTAAGGATTTCTTGAAATGTTTTATTCATCTGGGCCCAGGTGTAGTGGATTGATTCTTTATTTTCAGTTTTAGTTTTTTCTCTGGTTTATATAAATAATATGTCCTAACTTTGTAATTAATACACACGCTTATGTTTTGATTCCTAACATTTGACTTCTACACAGGGCTCTGTTTCACAAAAACTTAAACTAAAATCACTAAAATAGATTTTAACTAAAATCAAAATGAAATATTAAATTTTATGCGTTTCACGAAGATCGATTGTAACTTAAAATCTAATTTTAATAGATTTTAGTTAAAATTGCTTGCGCTCGCGCAGTGTACAATTCCGATGAGGGCACTTAGGGTGTAAGCATACTAACTTCGGAACTGAAAACTGTTGCCAGGTTGAACTAACCGTTACAATACCAATGAGGAGAGTTTCATACGTTGTAACAATGTCTACACATGGTCAGACAGTCATAGAGAGATGATATAAATAAGTTTATTGCGTGTTATTCGTTTTGAAATGTATCAATTGGTTGGCCTTGAACTTGCATGTCGCTTTGGTGACCTTAGCTTTTGATTTACTCGCAGTCTTCAATAGAATGAATGCGTATCGATAAACTAAATCGCTTGAATTTCGTAGTTTTATGGTATTTTGAATAACAGAAACTATTGAGAAATTGTCACAAACATGTGATATTTCTGACTCAAACGATTAATCTAGACTAAGGTATTGTCGATTTTTAAAAGTATTTAATAACTTTTAAATTAATACACGAAATAACCAATGTTTCGATGCCTAGATTTGAAATGTCAGTCCCATATACCCTTTCCATAATAATTTGAAAATGCCAATGTTTCACACTCCTTATTGGATAATGCCTATCTATCTTACTAAATTAAAAAGATTTTTTCACAATATAAAATACCCTGGGCTCCTATATAAATCACCATAACCCCAAAACCATAATACTTTGCATATGGCGTATCTAGTATTATAGGACTGACGGGGTTTTGATTCCCCGGTTGTACGTGACAAGGAATAGGGTCACCCGTCCAACCTCGTGGGTTTTCTCCGGGTCCACCGGGTTTCTCCCACGTCTAGTGGACGTTAAACGCTCTGTCCCTCTAGGCCTACAAAGATATTTTTTTAGTCATTAGATATGAAGTGGGTTTATATTTTTTTTTTTAGGTTTTTTTTTTTTGGTCTATTAATTATTTGAATATAGTATAATTTGAATCATGTGGTAATATATAAAATAGTAACAAAGAGTTTTGATTACTATTGTTTTGAGGGTTTTTTTGTTCTTGGGGTTATAACTTGGGGTGTCATCCAATTGCTTATATTGCCTTACAATAAAATAAAGGGGTGGGTCGCAGCTATATTTCCCATGCAATGAAAAGAAATTGAATGAAAATTATTTTTGTGAATGATAGTATGTTTAAATTATATAATCCGGGCCATTGGCAATATTATCATTATTCCAAATATATCTATATGTCGCAATAGATCTCACAACGTAGCTCTAATCAATATTTGTTAATGTGATTTTAAGTTAGGAGAGGGTGACGGATGTCCTAAGTTAAAAGTGATTTTAGTTAAAATTGTCCTAAAATAGTTTTGTGAAAAGCCACTATTTTAAGTTAAGATACAATAATTTTAACTTACAATATTATTTTAGTGGATTTTATCTAAAATGCTTAAAATCGTTTTGTGAAATGCATCTATCATAAGTTAGGATGGAATTTTAGTTTAAGACGATTTTAAGGAGATTTAAGTTTTTGTGAAACAGGGCCCAGGCCACATGGTATTATTTTCCCTACATTTATATTTCATGTAGCACATAGCCGATTAACTCACAATATTATTATACAACGTTTGGGAAATATTCCCTTATTGTATGTCTGTTTTTCATTTTGAGTAAATGGGTTTAATGGCTTGGTTTTGATTCCTCGGTTGTACCGTGACGAGGAGTAGGGTCACCTGTCCGACCTCTTGGGCATTTCTCCGGTTCTTGCGGTTTCCTCCCACTGCTAAAGACCCCTACGCGCAAGCGATTTATAAGATTAAATTGAACCATATGTTAGTCCCGAAATGATCTAGTTTGTGTCGAGTGGACGTTAAACGCTCTCTTGTTTAACCTGTGACGGTATGTTTAATACGTCCAATAGCTTGTTTAACCTGTGACGGTATGTTTAATACGCCCAATAGCTTGTTTAACCCGTGACTGTGTGATTTGGATTGTTGTTGGTAGCTCAAAGGACCTTTTTATCTGGAATTTGTTCTACATTTAGTGAATATTTGAGTTATTCGAAAAGAGTTTAAAACACGTCAGATCAAAAATATTCAAAATTTTATCTTGGTAGAAGAAACATTTGACGTGGATTCATTTAATAATAAATTTTACCTGGTTTGAAATTGATTTTGTTTATTTGTACATATTTTTAGAGAATCAAACAATACACAAGATGTGTTAAAAACATGAAAAACAAGCAACACTACAACACTTTTTTCACCATCCAGGGAGTTATTGTATGACAGATGTCGAGAAAACAATACATTTCTAACCAACGATAAAACCGTTGTTTTGCATACGTAGCATTAATTCAGCCATTGTGGAAAATTTCCTATTGATTGAATATGAGTAACACAATAGGCATAGGGGGCCAATCTCAGTTGGGGTGTTGGGAATGGGGAGGGGATAAATTGCTAAAACAAATCTTTGTCATCCGAATTTTCAGACTGAATCAATCATTAAATAATATGGCATATGGTCTCACACTTTGAGAAGCGCCTACCCCCACCCCTTTTCAACGCCTATGAATTGCTGAAACAATTAATCGATGATAATGTCGAATCAGTGAATATTTAAATCTCAAAATAAACTTACCAAAAAGATGAAAAATAGATTGTGCGAAAAGTTTTCCAAATCTTTGATCATGTGCCCAGTTCTCACGTGTTTTTATGTTTTATTCTTTACATAAATAAATGTAGAGTTTAATCGGGGTAATTTATCCAGTCACCCCGTCGAATCGAATATACCACGTCTAATGATCGTAATATTTGATGATAAGCCTACTTATTTACTTGTACTTAGGTGTTAAACATCTTATACTTAGAACCAAATCTGCATATTATATAAACATGGTTAAAGTCATATAAGCCTATTGGACCGTCGTAATTAAAAAAAATATATTGTTTTTAGAATGATTTGAAGTCGGTAATATATTACACCGTACAACAGAAGTGGCATTCAGCAATACGTTTTCTTGAAAGAGAAGACTTCAAACGTTATTTGTCCTAACATTTAATAATAATAATCAATTTGTATAGCGCTGAGTGTTCCAGCTAATACGACAACGTGAAGTAAAGGGCCAGTTTTCCTAAAGTAAACATAGACATCTAAATTACGTCATACATAAAGCTCCTTTTGTACATCATTGCTAAGATTGACAAGACTAGTAATTCATCTTGGTTATTATAATAATTATGTCAACTTTTAATGTTTTTATACCAAGGTTTAACATAGTTGAACTTGATTATTTTGTTACTCATTACGCGTGGTATGGTCAAATTTGATGACATTATGCGGTTCAATAGTTATTGTTCGTTTTGTCTGTTTATAATTTGATGTAAATCTTGAATTGTTCGTGGTCAAATTTAACTTTAAAACGGACAATAAAAGAACCAGTCCAATTTATTATTTAAATACAGTATTATAATGTCGAACACTTCAAGCATCCATGAAGTGCCAACAGTCAGAAGAAGGTTGATTATTCATTGGTCAATAACGCCACGTGATACTCTAATTTTCCAATATAATGGGTCCTAGAAAGTTGGAAGGTGTAGCCCGGTCAGCACTGAAATAAAATAAAAAATCTTTCAAAATATTAGCCGCGTCGTTTTCTCCAAATACTATAATAGGTCATTCCATGTCAAGTCGGTCAATTTTCAGAAATTTGGGAAATTGACCCCCTCGAAAAAATCTGGAAAAATAATGTTATTGTGCATGTAAAAACTAGAAACGGGCATTTGAGTTTCATGTGTTACCGATAAGTTTTCGAAACAAAATATGTATCAATAATTTACTCGAGTTTCAGATATCTTATATTTACCTTTCTAGTGAAGATATACAGCTCAAATTTGCTAGTCTTGAAGAAATGTTTGTGTAGATTACGAATGAGTCTGCAATCAGTGTTAGGGTACGCATGTTACTTGGCCATGAAACCCGAAAAACATTTGGTGAATTGTATATTTTCTGGATTTTGTAGTGTTCCAGGAGCTACATAGTAATAGATATGGACCCAAATATTGGCCTATCCAGAGATTGAGGGTAGAAAAAAAAATTATTGAGATGGCACGGGATAAGAATGGTTTAAACATATGTTAGAGGCAAGTTTCAGATTTTTAGGTGCTCATCTACCGGGTTCAATTGGCTCGAAAATATATACGATAACTGACATAGATTGACCCAAAACACAGATTTTGAAAAAATCGAAAACATATCGAGATGGCATGGGACAAGAATGGCTTTAACATATGTTGGAAACATTAGTACAAACTTTAATTACACCGTGTTTCAGATTTTAGATGCTCATCTACCGGGTTCTATCGGCTCGAAAATAGTCACCAGTTTCGGACAGATGCCTCAAAACATGGAGGGGCAGGAATTTATAAAGGAGATTACTTGTATATCAACTGGAATATTGATTCCCATTTATTGCAAAGGAACATATAAACATCAAAGAATGTATAGCTGTCGTGTTATCCGCGATGCGGTGGGGGCACATGTGGTCCGATCAGACTGTTCTTGTCGCAACAGACAATAATATGACGACAAAATCCCTATGAAACAAAGGTACTTCAAGCATACTGATGGCATACTTGCGAACGCTATTTTGGTTATCAGCCATTCACAACTTCGACATTAAAGCTAGGTATATATGTACACGTGACAACAAAGCCACCGATGCTGCATCAAGGCTTCGCGAGCCAAGCCAACTCGCCAGACTTTATGACATTTTGTCC